TGACCGTAGTAGAGGACAGTAGTACCGACCATTATTTGTTACCTATTATGTACAGATGCGCATGCATATATTCCCAAGACCTGGCTTTGATTGTAGAAATATTAACAGACATTCAATCTAATATTGGGCAATCATTATTTGAGCACGGGCGGCGTCCATGTCTTAGGCGCTAGGGAGTTCGACTCGTAATTCCAGCGTATGGTGATCGAAACCCACTGCTGGCTGCGTGGATTTTTGTCATGGTTTGGGGCATCGCAGATAGACCCAGCCTAAAATGGGTACCAGGTTGTATGTCCTGGGGAAGTAAAGACGGCCAGCGTAATGCTGACCATATTACCCACCTAGTGCAGATTGGTCTGTAAAAATATGAAGCGCTCTTTCCATATGCCCGATACGTCTAAAGGCGTGAAAAGGGATCTTTACTTTCCTTTTTTTCATTATTGGGACACTGCGCTGGCTCCTGAAGATAAGCATGGAGCGCTTTTGAGAATATCTGAATGTTGTGATTTCGGTTCTTAACTCAGAGACATGTATTTTAAAACATTATTGGTCTTGGCGCTTATCCAAACCGTGTTACGTTTTCACACAGAGGCCCTTTTTTTAGACTTCTTTTTGTGTAAAAAGTCTGTCGGCAATGTCAGTATCTGAAATAGGTTTATCTGGGTCACAAACCGACTTGACACCACTTCGGACGTTCTCATACGCACTCCTTTCTCATCTTCAGCAGCCAGCGAAAAGTAGCTATTCATATGGCAACACATTAGCAATAGATAAATAAATAAAACTAAACAGTGAAGTCTAATGGATCGTACTGCATCGTTTTGTCAATCAGAAACAACGCTCTGGCCCCATATTTCATATATTTTAACCTCTAAGTGACTGCAGGTGTCGCTTTAGCTGAAAACTATATTTTTTGGGTTATGGTTAGTGTAAAGTGGTCGGCTAAATAAATTATCTCGTATTGCCGGTTCCCGGGTGTGACAATTTTGAAGAACACTGCTCCAGATATCTTTTCCTTTGCGTTCAGCGGCCTTGATCGAAAAGTCTTTTATAGTTTATCGAGGTCTTGTGTCAGGACTTGAGGTTTGCATGCACGTATGTTTTTCAGATATGTCATTTGCTGGCAGACTGCTGGTTCCCTGCCTCTTGGCCAGATAAACACCAACACCGTGAGAAGGTTGGTCTGTTCTAATTTGGCCAGGCTCCCAGTTGAGAGATTGTTTCCAGTATGTTCATGTAAAGTTGCAGCGGGGTTTTGACCAGTTCTGTGCCATTGGCTCGTGCACCATCAGGTGTGATGCAGCCCCTCCGCATCCCATTCTACAGGGGGCGGTGAAGTTCTAAAGGAGCCATGAAGAAGTTCCAAGGGGGCCGTTAGTTCTGAAGGGGCTATGGGAAAGTTTTAAGGGGGCCAGGAGGAAGTTCTAAGGGGTCGTGAGAAAGTTCTAAGGGCCCGTCAGCAAGTTCTGAGGGGGTCGTTAGGAAGTTCTAAGGGGGCTGTGAAGAAGTTCTGAGGGGTCCATGAGGAAGATCTAAGGGGGTTGCTAGGAAGTTCTAAAGTGTCGCGAAGAAGTTCTTAGTGGTCGTGGTGAAGTTCTAAATGGACCGTCAGAAAGTTCTAAGGGGGTCGTTAGGAAGTTCTAAGGGGGTCGTGAGGAAATTGTTCGGAAAGGGGAGAGGGGGTGGGAGGGGGTGAGAAAGTTCCAAGGGGGGCGCTACAATGTTTTAAGGTGAACTGCAAGCAATTTTAAAATGATTCAATTTATACTTGTAAGTTTCTGTTATACTATTATTTTTTATTTTTATTTTAATATAATGTTTACAAAAAATTGTAACTATTTATACAACTAAAAGCCAAGGACTTTGTGTTTGTGTGTGTGCGCGTGTGTGTGTCTGTGTGTGTATAGCATTGTTCTCTCGTTTTCATTTCGTTTCATTCGCCGTATACGAACGAAAAAAATTACATATAACATCTAACGGCACGCGTCTCATAAGCGTTTCACTCTCAGGTAGACATCTCATGCATTATGCTCCAACGAGTTGTGAATTTCTCATTGTATGCAGGATAGGCTATCAGAATAATCACTACACATGACTAAACTTGTGTATTGATTTCCAAATATTCACCACGGGTATGACAGTTTCTATTATTCTATTTTTACAGGGTACACAATTTACTAGTCATACAAATATGCCGAAACTCGAACAAATCAGCACCCGTGCAACTGTATATTACAAAATCATAGGGACATGTGAAATCCAAGACCGCGTGCACACATTTGTGTTCATTCGTACATGAGATTTTTTTTTTTTTTTATGTGAGTGCACGACTTCTGAAAGGCACTATCATTATTGAAACATATCACTAGTTGAGTGGGAGAAAAATTCTCGCCTTCTTACATGTTTACTTACGTCAGCACAAACATTTGTGACGCAAACACATAATTCTGGAAGACACTGAATTCTTTTGAGACGTGGAAAAAAAGGATAATTTTCGGTGCTTAATTAATATCCTACCCCAAACAGGGAAAATCCACAGGTCACGGGACACTAATATTTTAGGGGGTGTTAGATAGGCTGCATGCAGTCGTGGAACCTAGGCTGCACTCTCTCGTGGGACGTAGGTGGGTTGAGGTTAGGGCCAGTTTTAGGTGTTTTAGAGTGGTTAAAAGCGTCAGAAATCCGAGAAATCAAGTCTTACCACCCTCTAAAATGTTGGGCTGTCATGTGACGTCATCTGGGGTAAGATATTATTAAAGAACCTAATTTTCTTTCGAAATCGATACTGACATTGAGATTGTGACCAATAGCAAAGGCAGTCTCCAGGATCTATTTGTCCTAGCACCGGTAACTGTGCTGTTTTCAATCTCATTTACTCAGCAACTTTGCTATTTGTGTTGTTTCGTGGCCACGGTGTCATATTTTGCTTTGAAACTCCAGTAATCTTTGACCTTTTAGGTCAAATATCACCTTCTTGGTGATGATAACCTCCCATTGTTGATAAAAATAATTAGCCTCAGCTTAGTCGCTCCACTTCTACCTTGGAGTGTAATGGTTCGCTAGAAAGATCGCTAGACTTCTCTGTCAGCATCTTTAATGACAATTAGCGAGAATGATAAATAAAATGAGTCATAAAGAGGTGGTTAGGACAGTCAATTTTGTTCGTAGACTTCTTGAACTAAAGGAATTTATATTGCATGTTAGTACTTATATGTGTACTTTTGTCTGTCTTTATCCGTATGCTATTATCATCAGTTGGTGTCACTGGCTTAGGCGTTGCGAACGCGCTTCGTAATGCCGGAGTGATGGGTTTGATCCCATCTGCAGGCGATTTGACAGCACAATATCGTACGTTGGTTTCAACGGTGGTATCGAGAGTTGGCTGTTCATATGCAATGGCAAACTACTGAACGTATATTTGCCTAAAAGAACAACAACAAACAAAAAAGATAGGGTTGGTTCTACAACGTCCTGTGAAAGGATAGGTCGCTCACTTTTTTTTAAATTTTGTTTTATCGTTATCAGTTATCAAGTTCCTTACAAAACGTCGCTCTGGTCATATCACGTCTGCAAGAGTCTCTTTCTGTGTTTAATTATCCAGCCCTATGTGCTTTCATAGGCGGTGGATCTTCAATGTTTTGTATCCACCTTCACTAGTGCAATTACTGTGTAAATCACTGTTGGTTATCACTTCAGTTCCGGAGATTCCTGCTTTGTGCGACCCTTTCAGAGAGTGAGCGCCATCTCTTTTTAGACCTGTCAATGCAGATAAAACTCGGTGCATAAGAAGCACACACAAAAAAAGGTGAACGGGAAGGTTTTTTCACACTATATTTTTACATTCTTCTTCTCCTGCTTATTCTTCTTATTATTCTTATTAATATTATTAACATTATTATTAGCGTTCGCCTCCTGAAAGAGACATTTGCTCAATGTATCAGTCTACAGCTAGGTTGATATATCTGCACTTTTCGACGCAACACATCAGCAAACCTCTAATTAGTCGCCTTTTACGACATGCTTGATATGGGCCAGTGGGTCGATTCTGTTTGCTCCAAAATGGGATCCCGGATCTTATGCAAGAAATAAACAGCGAATTGTGTGTGGCAAAAGAAGAGGGAATACTGAACATCATCATCATCATCATACAAAAAAAATCACCATTGTATTTGATAACTAACAAGCTAGTGGAAAGATGCTTGATCCGTCGCCACTGACACTACCTCACCCTTTTTTACGGCCATGGTATCTTGAATATCTTGTGTTTCCAAGTGTACTGATATAACCCTGCCCGTTATGCCAGAACGCACCCTGTTTCCTTTTTTACGACATGCCTGGTATAGGGTAAAGTGTTACTATTCTTTTCTTTTTATGAGGTCCCCGGTAACATTACGTGTGGCCAAATCATTTCACTTGTCCCAGTGTGATGCTATTTGTGAAACAGTTTACTTAACTGTTTAGATGTTTTAGAAAATCTGTGTGTTTTGTTGATATCGTTGTTGGTTGTTTTCCGCATTCAAGTTCGATGTTCCTTTAATTTTGGTTGAATTGTTAACATTTTTTTTAAGGGCTCACAGAGCAATTTACCATCAACAAAATATAAGCATATGCTAAATATTTAAATCACATCACGAGAAATATAGTTGTTTATCGCTTGCGTGATGTCCTGGTGCGGTACAATCTACCTAATTACCTAATCACTCACTAAGGAGCCGTCTCCACGGGGTAGGTAGGCTGCAATCGATCTTTAAAACGCACTGTATCTCGTCCTCGTTGTAACTCTGAAACTACTGTAAGTCCATCTTTTGTTGTTATTCTCCCAGCTGTATCCATGTTTGCCTCTTGCTTAAGCCTTTCTCTCCACAACTAAGACTTTATGTCATATTATGTGGCCATAATTTCTATGAATAAAGTGTTTATTAGAAAACGCTCAGCTGGCCAAAGGTCACGCATGTTACAATTTGAAGTGCCAAGTAGGTTTTTAATGACCATAACTACTTTTAATTGCTGTTCCTGTATTTTTCTGTAGGCTTTATCATCTTCAGTGGCATTTCAAGATTGTCCTGGCTATTAAGATCTACCTTCATAACATCGACATCCAAGGGCAGTGACCAAAATCGACGAGAAAATGTTAATAGTAACTCAGGCCTTGGCGTAGACTTAATTAATCCTCGGGTCAGATAGCTCACAAGAAGGCCTAGAAATAAGGATACAAAAGTTCCAATGATGCTGTACCAAAGATATGATATATCAAACAAAAAGAAACCAGCTTCGTGTGTTCTGGTATCTATCAAGGAGTTGTCTGTGCTGGTAAAAATATCACTGCTTGCTATAGACGACCAGGTGGTATCATTATCAAATAAAACCTCTGTGAAAGGCATACACTGATGTCGTATTTGCTAAGGCAAAACTAGAAGATACCCTACTGATATTGTAACTGAAGCAATTGGCTGTGGACACAGGGGGCAGTTTTTTAGGCTTCCTTCCATAGAGTTGACCAGTTATCGCAAGGAAGACGTTAAAGACTATGGCAACTATCCCACCTGTCAAAGCACCATACTTGTTAGCCCAAGGCACCAAAAGACCCATCAAAAACATGCCGAAGATGGGACCTCCGCAAGCGCCGAAGACGGAACCGCTCATTTGAGTGACTGGTCCCTCGATCGAACTGGCGCCATAAGCTAGTCCAACAATGATGACTCCGTAGATAAGGACAAAAAATTTAGTCCATAAAGTCACGGTCTTCTCCCTCAGTGAATGCATTGGGCCCTTCAGGATGTCTTCTACTGTGTTAGCTGCCAGAGCGTTCATCCCTGAGGAGAATAGGAGTAGAGCAATAAGCATACTGTGCTATTTCAAGACTGACAATCTCATTTTATCGAATATATATGGTACAACCAAATAGTGACTTAATCCACCATAAGACAAAAACATTAATACAGTCTAGTATCCAAGAAAAGTGGGTCGATACACACACCAGATTCTCTCCCCCAAGACTCACTTCATCGCCTCTCTAGAGAAGGACAGTGTATTCAGACTAACGACTGAGCACAAGACTTCGTCGACGCATGTTCAAATTCTTCGATGTAGGAAATACGGAGACGTGTCCCTGCAGCGTGGCACCAGAAAATGCTGAGCATGTGCTCCAACACTGTCAACTGTATGCTGACAACAGTAAAGTAATCTGGCCTGTTCCAACCACAATGAAGACAAAGCAGTATGGTACAAGAGAGGATATGGATTGCTCGATAGCTTTCATAAAGGCTACAGGCCTTTTGATATCGGTTTTCTGACACAAGGATCGAAGAAGAAGAAAAAGGAGAAGAATAAATGTATCTTCTTCCTCGCGTTTACCGGCTGTAAACTCATGAGGAAATTTATGGTTGGTCGTCCACCTCTTGAATTGAGTCTTGTTCCTAAACCTGAGTGTTGCGTCTACATCCGTTTCAAACAACTGGCTTTTCTGAATATTGGCTGTTGGTTCCTCCCCTTTCAAGTCGATGTACTCCAACTCTAAAGGAAGTGCCACCCCTCCCCTTCTCCTCCCAAGTTAGTAGACTCTTAGGACACGCTTTTTCTGAAGGCAATAAGTCTAGTCCTGTTCTGTCCATAATGGGGCTCCGGAACCCACATGTAGAAATCAATACAAGAAACAGTAAATCAGCAGCACTGGGTTTAAAGGTTGAAAAGTATCAGTCGAGAAAATAGACTTCAGTCATTATCATCATGTTCCGTGCTAGTAAGCGTAGACTGCCATGTTTCCACAGCTCACTCGATCACCACAAACATGAATCAGGTTGGTGATCTTGTCTCGATCCCTCCATACGGCCAAGACACCCAGGTGTTTATGTCTCTGCCTTTCTCTCGCTCACTTGCCACCAACTTTGCCAGCTGTTCCCACAATTTCAGATCTATACCTGCCTATAACATCGACTGTTTACGTCTATAGTCTTCATTGCACCAATTCTCTGTGTGTAGAACAGCTAGCCGCCTGCTGAGAGGATCACATGAAGGACGAACTCCAAAACGTCGACAGCAATCTCCTTTGATTTCCTTCTGAAAGAAATGAAGCAGTATGTGAAATGAACCCACGACTTTCAGAGCGCGAGACAGTCTTAACCAATTAGTCCCCGACGTTGTTGATCGATCAGTCAGTTTGTCCTCTTGGGGCTGCTCCCAGAAGGTTTACCGCACCATCCTGGCATTTATAAAAACAAACCTTAATCTACCAGCATGGTAGATCCCAGCTACCCTGTTCAACTTCTACAGAAGTTAAAATCGGAGCACCCGTAACGGAAACAGCAACTAGGTGTAATTCGTAATCATGTGTGGGTGAGGACGATTTGTCACAAAGCTGTTCTGTATGGAAGATTATTTGTTGGCGCCAAGTTGCTGAATGGAAATGGGACCAGAGACGCAACAACACAGAAAACATGGACAGGAGGAGGAGCCACAAAGGACTGAAGATTTGTTATGTGCTTGAAATAATAATTCTTTATTATTGTAACAATTATAATAACAATAATTTGCTAAATGGCAAACAAATATAATAAAAAAATTTTGATATTAATACTGTATAATTCTAAACATATTATTAGTTTTTTGTGCAGTTTAACAGCGCTTAGGCACTTTGGGCTCTGCGCTCATGGACACTTAATAAAGGGACTGACACTCCTAATTAATGTTTTGTGCCGTGGTCCCTGCACACATAAAAACACACACACATATCTCCCTCTCTCTCTCTCTCTCTCTATATATATATATATATATATATATAGAAACACATGTGTGCATGCATCTTTGTGTGTTTCTAATTGTGTGGGATGTATGCCTGTGTGTGAATGTATATATGTGTGTTTATATTTATATATATATATATATATATATATATATATATATATATATATATATATATATATATATATATATATATATATATATATGGTCTGTTTGTGGATATGCGTGTGTGAGTGCGCGCGTGTCTGTGTGTGTGTGTGTGTGTGTGTGTGTGTGTGTGTGTGTGTGTTACACAGCACACTAAAAAACAAATGGAGACAGGGACAAATAATTACCAGAGGAGATGGTGCTGAGGCCTCCACTAAAGAGAGTACCCATGTAGAAACCGGACATCCCTGGCAGGTCATGCAGAGCGTGGACGACGTAGAAGGGAAGGATCTGGTTACCGTCCGTGAGAATGCCGGCCTGGACAGGGGAAATAATCACATATGTGGATATAATCAGACACCGACGAAAAGATGTTAGCATCTACCTAAATAAATTACAGGGGAAATAACTACCTGATTAAATACAATTGGAGACTGGTGATAAGGAGTTATCTCTTAATAATCGACAGGGGAAATAACTATATAAGTGAAACATATCATACACTGAGGATAAGAGGTTAGCGTAGGTCTAAATAAATTACAAGGGAAACAGCCACCCAAGTGGACACAATCATACATAAAAATATGAGGCGTTACCTTATGGCGAAATAGGCTTAGATGTTTGCCCTCGGTTCAGGTCTGGACGGAGCCCGACGTTTTTCAAAGAGGACCTTGGTTCCCAGATCGACACAACTTTCAGTGGGTACCCGGTATAGTCCTAAACAGCAAAGGCGGCTGGCGTGATATTGACCACATTACCCCCTCCCCCTTTCACAAGTGCCGATTGGTCAATAAAATAAAGGACTACCCCTATATGCCCAATGCTCCTGAATGTGCGGAAAATGATCCTTTATGTCTAAATAAAACAACAGGGGAAATAACCACGGAAGTGGATACCATCAGACAATTGACTCTGATCACACTTTTAGTAAGGGAAGTAAGCGAAAATAACTGTACCTGTCTTTGTTCGCTCTGTTTTTCTAAGGTCGGAAGGCGTCTGTTTAGGGAGCAAAGAACCGAAAGTTCACATTAAAGTAAGCGAGATCTATAAATCGATGTGCCTGCAAAACTGAAGTTCAGGAGCAAGAATAAAGGCCCAGAAGTGAACTTCTAGCCAGAGTTTACAGCCAATGAACTCAGAATCCAGTTTCGTCCTTTTTAGAAATAATTTTTTTGTTATTTGGAGCCCCACCCTAGCTTTTGACAGGGGCCGCAATATAGGCAGGCCATAAATATGGCCATTTGTCTGAACGCAGTTTCTAGGACCTCTCCACGGCGATCCTCATCCATATGGTGGCACTTTGTGTCATCGGGTGTTTATCACTTGTGTGATGTCCTAGTGGGGTAGAAAGTCAGTCAGTCAGCCAATGAACGCTTAGAAAAGAAAAAAGATCAACATTTAGATATTCTACGGTGTCATTCTGGGTGGCAGACGAACAAAGCTAATCTTAAAAATCCTTTTCAACCTCCAGAGAAGTTAAAATTAGGTGACCGTAACTACATACACCTACATGGTCTAACTGCAGTCGTGTGTGGATAAAGAGTTATATAACGACTTCAACAGATAATAAATGTATATTATCCTTACCCACCCCCACAGAACTGTAGGTTAAATCCAGGTTCCGGTAACCCAGTGGTTCTCAACTTTGCTAATATCGCGACCCTTTATTACAATTCCTCATGTTGTGGTGACCCCTAGGCATAAAATTATTTTCGCTGCTACTTCATAACTTCAGTGAATATGTATGTTTAGCCTCGACAGAAATTATATTTAGGGTACCCGTACCGGTTACAGAAGTGGTTCTCAACCTGTCAGTCGCGACCCTTTTCAGGGGTTGCCTAAGACCATTGGAAAACACATATTCATTGAAGCCATGAAGAAAAATAATTGTTTGTTGGTCGCCACAATATAAGGAACTGTATTAAAGGGTCCAGGAATTAGGAAGGTTCAGGGCCACTGATCTAGACAAACACAACAGCGTCAATCATCACACTGATTTTTGGACACAGAATTACTATTTGCTGGTGATTGTTTCTGTTATGTTATTTGGTACATTGATTGATGTGGATGTTTTTTTCTTTACGTTTTTGTGCTTGGGATTTTTATATTGGTCATCTTCTCTTTAATCACATTTGGTTTCAAAGCTAGATGGGTAGGAGGGTGCTATGGTTGGGGAAGGGAATGTCATCGCTATATGTTCAATTGCAGTGCCACCAGGAAAAGCTGAAAGCCAGTAATAAATTATTTAAAATAAGTGTTATCGTTCTTACTTTAATGGGGTCACACTGGTAGAAGCTGAAGTAGGCGAACATGACGACACCAACAAGCAGCAGGCTCATGCCGTAGACAATCATCAGGGGGACGTTCAAGAAGAAACAGATGCTGGCTTCTCTCTTGGTGCGCATGGATGAGATTCGCTGGATCGTCGACTGGTTGAAGATGTTGGTCATCCTGTTCCAACAGACAATAATATCAAATCACACTCTGCAAAAGGGGTTTTCGCGGAGGAACGTATTGGGGAGGATACTAGCCTTATCCAAGGAAGAGAAAATGCACATTGAAAACTTCCTGTTATAATGGCAGGCAGACCTGGTCTTAAGCTTTGACTGGCAGCTGGTCTAGGAGGCAAGCTCCGACAGGCGGACAGAGAAGGCACTTCTCTACTGATCCGGCAGAAAATTTGGCGTGCTTTGTTCTAAGCGTATTAGTGTTACCGTTTCTTTAGAGTAAACAAGGCATGTTTAGTGAGGGATCATAATGTATTTGACAACGCACAGTTTCATCAATTCTGACTAGGTTATGTGCTATAGAGTGGAGTAGCTTTATTACTGGAGCTCTCCTTAAGTCCCATACTCTAGTTGTGGTAGATTTTTCTTAACACGGGCGCATCTTGCTTGTCACAATCGCACTGTCCATCGGCTTTGATTGTCATGCCTACCCATAGCCCAGTACAACACTATTGTCTAAAGAGGTAACAAGGTTCCAGCCGACACACGTTTTTAGTCGCAAAAGATCACTCTTTAAAAAAACCTCACGAAAGTTGGGAGCAAAAAAATAAGTATACTGACATTGATACAAGTGGGAAAATAATAACACAAGAAGGATAACATTAGTAACAAGAGTAAATAACTAGGAGGAAAGACAGAACATGTTAGAAATCTCTGAAAGGCAATCTTCAAGTGGAGTCAGCGGATAATAGTAGTCTAAGCATGTTGTTATTATACCTAGTAATATTATTATTATTGTTTCAAAATATGTGTATTCTTAGAACACCTTCCAGTGTTAATGGTGAATGTTTTTAATATTATGTCTGTGTGGCTTTCGGAGCCCCTTTGTATTAAAAACATGAATAGACCCACTGCCTCTCCAACACACGTAGTAAGAGTGGATCAACTGGGGGGGGGGGGGGGGGCTTCTTTCGCAGCCAGACTGCATCTGCCTGAGATGCAAGGAACCAACAGTCTGCATAAAAAATAAGTCAGACCTGGAAACAAGATGTACAAGCAACACTAGACTTAGTGACTGATGTCATCAAAATGTTGCCGATACCCTTTACTTTCCAAGACATTTTCTGCATCTAATTAGGCTGGGTGGACCAAAAGAACTCATAAATTTATTATATGTCTAGCTCGGTAATTCAGATACACCCTCTTCGGTTGGTGTTAAATGATCATTTTCTTGTCTCCTGCTGTTTAACCCATTAAATACCAAAGTGTAGCCTTGGTCTTACGTGCTCACGCATAAAGAGATAAGCGAAACGTAGAACTGGACCCCCTGCCCCCTGCCCCATTGAGCTCACGCAGAGTTGGCCAGGCTGGAATCATTATCCATTAACCTGATGCTTGGCATCTGATCGGTTCAAGGTTGCAGTCATGGCCGGGAAAAACCCTGTTCTAGCATTCCTATATTCTCAAATACGTGCGCACGTAAGACCCAGAGCACCTAATGGTTATTAATGTGTGAAACAGCGTGAGAGAAAGTGGTCATGTGACCTGAACTTTTCCTGAACTTTCAAATTCACTATTTACATACAAGAAAAGTAAAAGTTTAGTTGGTAATCTACAGTTGGTAGATTAGTGAAAAATTATTTGGAAGGTGCGGAGATATGGTTTTACAAACGTGTGATGAGAATAACCTGGACAGATAAAAAAGAGAAATGAGGATGTCTTGAAAGAAACTGACTCATGAAGAGAACTAATTGGCCACTTCAGAAAGAGACAATCTACATTCTTTGGTCATGTGATGAGAAGGGGACAAGTGGAGTACATCGTGACGGTAGCAAAGTTTGGAGGTTGGGGGTGGGGGGGGGGGGGGGGGCAGGTATCAAAAGAAAAGATGCTAGACAGTTTGACATCATGGCATGGAGGATCATCTGTGTCAGAGTTGAATAAAAGTACGTGAGGCAGAAGGTTGTGGATAGATATGACTACCAACGCCCTATGGCATAGACTTTAAGAGTAAAGTATTTAAAAGGCCCTTTTCATATGTTTTATAGACCATTCAGCACTCGGTTTGTGATGAGCTTAGCATCGCGTCGGCCGCTTTTACTTCTCTTGACATTGCCTGGTACACGTTTGACTCTTTAAGTCCCAAGGAACGCATCATACGTTCATAGGTTCCTACCCAGAAGCCCAATGAACGCATGATGCGCTGGTTTTATTACTTTCCTTACTACTCCCTGGGTCTGTGATGCTAAATCCCATGGGACTCAAAGAGTTAAGGCTGGGTCGGTCTGAGAAATCCGTCACCATGCGGACTTGAACACACAAACTTCTGATCAGCAAGCGAACGTCTGGCCGCTACACCACTGTTGTAACCCTTATATTTAAGCGCTGTGTTTAAATCTCCAGGGTCGACCCAGCCTGGATTGGTTATAAAATAATGTCCCAGGAAGCAAAGGTGGCCGGCGTGCTATTAAACTTATTCTCCACGGAGTGCCGACTGGTCCTAAAAAATGATTCATACATCGTGTGCCCGATTGTCACTAGCGTATAAAATGTCTTGTGTTTAAAATTGACTCAAAAAATGATACACTTTAAGCCAAGCTACACTTTATATTTCTTTTAGTCGTATTTACGCTGAAATATTAAAAACACAATAACAGTGTTATTCATCACAAGGCAATACTATCTAGCAAAGAATAACACCACTGTTACCCACCATGTTTGAATTTGAAAAAAAAAAAATGTCAATAGACAAAACTGTCTGTTACCCCGAAAATGATAATGAAATATAAAGGTGTTTAAAATGTTACAAATCTCTAGGTTTCCCCCCAAAACAAAATGTGGAGACTTTTAAATAAAAGTCAAAAGGAGGATGATCATAACAATGCAAACATTAAACTATCACCCAGTCCTTACGGAAGATAATATAGGATTTTAAGTTGAAGCGCTACCTAAAGATTCTCAGAACACCGTGGACCAAAAATAAAGGAAATGCTGACATTCTAGGAGATCCTAACATCAAAGAAGATTGACTGATAAACAGCATCTCGTCTTGCCAACTAAAATTTGTTGGCCAAATTATTCACCACATTTTTTCCTTATGTGGATTTTAGATGCCCTTTTTGGCCAGAGCGGGGGGGGAGGGGGGGGGGTGGGGGTTAGCTTATAGACGCCCCTAAAACGAATGTCGTAAAGGGGACTAATTAGGTGTGTTTTGTTAAAACTGGGAGTGCATCTGCCTGAGACGCGATGAACCAACAACCTGCATATAAAAAAATCCACTCTGTAAAACGGATATCCTTCCAAAAACTCAAGTTCTGGAATAAGACCAAAATCCAAAAGTGGACGAACAACCATAACTTTCCAAAGGAGTTTACAGCCGGTGGAGGCAAAGAAGAAGAAGAAGAAGAAGAAGAAGAAGAAGAAGAAGAAGAAGAAGAAGAAGAAGAAGAAGAAGAAGAAGAAGAAGAAGAAGAAGAAGAAGAAGAAGAAGAAGAAGAAGAAGAAGAAGAATAACAACAACAACAAGACAGCACAGGAGGAAGAAGAAGAAGATGAAGAAAACTTATCCCTGATGAGTATTCATACACATATCAATGAGATCAGTATGCAAGTATAAACATTGTACCACATGAACATGGCGCCAAATATCACGCCCCACCAGGAGAGCCGAGTTCTGGGATCCGGACTGATGACTGTGGCATCAAGTCTCCCACTGTTGTACGCCACGGCCCAGATATCGCGGACACTGCCAATCGACACACAACCTGTGTAAGACAAAGATCAGTCATAGCCATGCTTTGGTACTTTGACTTAACGAGTTTAATTTGTTCCTGACTGGCTCGTATCTCGAAAATTTCGTATCTCGAAATGGTCGTATCTAGAAAACTTCGTATCTCGAAATCTACTTTCTCATTATGTCTTGCAGGAAAACAAATAATCCTTTTTCCATAACAAATTTAAACAACCAAACTCAAAAAATAATAAAAAGAACTGCTCTCACCCGAATTTAAAAAAAAAAATGCAGAATGATGTTTCAGTGGTGAAATACAATAGCATATACAGGCAATAAATTTACATTTTGTATACCGTCATAAAAACATTTTGGGCAATATAACCTTGTCATTGAGAGTTAGAAAAAGAATTCTTTCTTGCTACATACATCCAGTTTTAACATATGGCTGTGAATCCTGGATAATCGGTAGGCAGGCCAAACAATTTCTGGAGGCCTCGGAGATGTGGTTTTACAGAAGAATGCTAAGAATACCTTGGACAGCCAAAAAGAGCAACCAAGAGGTTTTGAAAGAGGCGGGAGCCCGAAGACAACTTATCACAGACATCAGAAGGAGACAGTCATCATTTTTCGGCAGAAAAGGCCCACTTCTCCCAGGTTTACGGTATCTATCATGGAATCAAGGCCGAAGGGTTGCGATATAGTACCGAGCCAAAGGGTTAACAACTCATGGTTTTTTATATTTTTAAAAAAAACACGACTGTCCTACGCTGGCAAGAAAACTCTAAAGGTTTAACCGATTGATCGGTCAGTTTGTGCCCTCCAGGCTGCTAATCAAAGAAGTGAGGGTGTAAATGCAGGCGTGCAGGGAAATGAGTAGGCTGATAGGCTTGCAGGTAAAGCTACTGTGCAGGGCGGATTAGCCATGGACAAGGCTGATAAATGGAATGCTCTACGAGAACCATGACCAGACTCCAAAATAACGTTAAAATGGCTGTGGTCAGACAAGAGCACTATACAGGAAGACAAAGAAGAATAAGAAACCAACACAGAACGGGAGTCGTCAGCGGATACACGCTGCAGATTTACTAAGGAGATATGAGCACTGGAGGAATGAATGGTTCGATGTGCAATTAGGATAATCTGTCGACTAATTACCTATTAAAAAAAAATATAACAAACTAACTAAACTAAAGATTTACCATAATGTTCTGAGACTAAAAATCCGACTCTGCATGGCCAACCAACAAGGTAGATCCCAGATACCCCGTTCAGTCCCCAAACTAGTTATCATTAGAGCACCTGTAACGGCCCCTCCAGCCAGGTTCAACCTGCATCCTTGTGTGGCTAAAGACAATATCTGAATAAATCTAACGTAACTAAGGTAGAATAGTACATGGAATCCAAACTTAGACCCCCTTTCCCATTGCCAACTCTGTGTCGATTTCAAAATAACACCAATCCTGCACTTACCTGTAACAAGTATTATAAAAATACCACCGAAGACAACGAGAGTCTGGAAAGTGTCAGTCCACACCACACTCTTGATCCCGCCAATGGCCGTGTACACTGTCCCAATAAGACCTACGATCACAACTGACAGCCACAGAGGTATCGCTGCCGCGGTCTGTGTGTACATTCAAAAAACACACTTCTTTGCAAAATTAATACCAAAAATTATGATCTACACACCATGTAATAGGAAATTTTCTGTATGGTAAACTATTTGTAATGTACTGATTGACATTTATAGATAAAAATGATTTGATTTGTTTTTCATTATATTCTACAAAAAAAACACAGCAAGTGAATTGTGGGAAAATTGTGGGACATTTGTGCAAATGGATATATTGTTTTACTAAATAGGTAAAGTCGGGAGATGTGAACCTGCGTCATTGCACACGGTCATAAACCATAAGTGCTCTGCCACCAGTACGGACAGCTGATGAGAAACTGTCCGCTTGTGTCGCCGTCCGCACGCAACTCCGTAGCTACAACGACGTTCCTCAATTTACCCCAGTGGTAACTCTGGTAGCCATTACCTAGAGGCTGGGTGAACCGCCCGGTTTCAAACACCGGCTGTGGGCTGAAGTGACTCTAATGAACAAGTACCTTTTTTTTTTTCAGTGTGTTTGGAATATTGCTAAGTGTCGGGTTTATTTTATACATTTTCTTAGATACTTTAGAATGTTATTTCCTCGTCTTTTTCTTCTGCTGTGCTCATCCCAAGATGTAAATGTGCTGTGTTCCTTTACAGCATGGCTCTGACACTTGCGTCTTTCGACCGACACATCCGACTTCTTCAAATGTCTATAAACTCTTTCGTAGTTGGTACAGTCTCTGGGCTCTGGCAAGTTAACGAAGTTTTGAGTGTTCCGCGTCGTGATAATGAAATAAAATAAATGTCTGTCACGTAAAACCAGTCCTGTTGAGTACAAGCACGACCGGTTCCAGATGACGGGAGTGCTGCTGACGTCACCGGGTCGGGCTAACGATGCTTTAAAGTAGCTGTTTTCAAACTGAGAACTGAGCGTATGCAAGGGGTGCCGCAGCAATAATCAAGAAAAGTCGGCTTAAAATTGTGAAATTATTACAGATGCGTTAACGCATCGTTTGTATGACCCAGTGACGTCGGTAGCACCCCCGTTAGCTAGAGCCGGTCATGGTACAACTCACGTTTTCGGGCCCACGGACACCGTGATTAGCCGTTTATTGATGCGTCTTAACCTTTGAGACGTGTTAGTCCAAGTGGCAGGGATGTCAGGTTGTCCCGTATATATGTTGGCGGACGAACTGGTACACATTGTGTTTCACTTGCTGTTCTCTGAGGGATTGCTTATAATATGTCGTTCTCGGACTTAACGAAATAATATTACTGGAGTTATCACATTCGACGGGCGACGATATAATGATAATGATATAAAGAATACCATTGCTTTTTCGGAGCAACACAGCGTTTTAGGGTCATCGCAAAATGTTAAGAAATCTGAAACCACAGGGTGTAGAATGCACTCTTTCGTGCGACCTAGGCTGAGGCTGTCCCCTACGGGAGTTAGGGTTAGGGCCTGTTGTAGCGGTTATGGGTCGTTTAAAGTGGCGGTAACAACGTGTACAATGGAAAGCGGGATATCGATAAAGGGTCACAACTTGCACTTTTTGAAAAGTTCTCTGATAGATCCCTACCTCAATCAGTTTGTCCTCTTCCCTTTTTATTGCCGAGAAAAAATATTTAAACTGAATACACATAAACTGATAATACAAAGTTTTGATAATCTAGGTTCTACTGTATTTACATAAGCAGCTAGGTATATACTGTATTCTGACCTGTAGCGCTAGAGCTGGCGAGAAAAGAGCCACGGCCATGTAGAAGAGAGTTTGGATCATCCCCAGCACGGTGCTAAACAGTCTGACAGCTGGAGATTCGAACCGTAGCAGGAGGTACTCGTACAGGCTGGTCAGCCTTAGTGGATACATCACAGGGATCATGATGAAGTACCCGACCACGTAACTCAGGCTGCTTCCAATGTAAATCATTGGAAACATAATTCCGTACTGGTAGACTTCATTGGGAATCCCCATTAGAGAAATAGCAGACTGGGGAATAATGCAAAGACATACAATTACAGATAACAATACGGGTTTTTCAAAATGATCGATACATTCTCATTCATGTACATGTTCTTGAATATACATTACATAATAATAATATACCTACGACAGAGAGAGAGAGAGAGAGAGAGAGAGAGAGAGAGAGAGAGAGAGAGAGAGAGAGAGAGAGAGAGAGAAAGAGATCTAAAGTTTCGATTACGTTTTGACGAGTTCAAGAACGCGGAAAACCGTGTCCTGCACTGTGGCCATATTACTCGGAACTGAACTAAAGTGTCCCCTGTGGCACGAGCATGCGCACACGAGTTGTTGGTTACGCAACTGCGCTTTAATGTTAGTATTCAAAACCTTAGTCCTTCCCCTCTCTTTTGTATGTGCGAGTATATTATTAATTTGTAAAGTATATCCAGGAAATATACATTGGATGAAAGTGTATCCATCTTTATGAATAGCTCTGCATATTTGCTTCTTCTTCTTCTTCTTTGATCTGCTTCGTGTTCAATGGCTATAAACTCCGACAGAAAGTAATTGTTGTTCGTCCACTTCTGGACTTAAGTCTTGTTCCAGGACCTTAGTGTTGCGTTTACGTCCGTTTTACAGATCTAGATTATTTGTGTGTAGATTTTTAGTTCCTCACCTCTCAAACAGATGCCCCCTGATTTCGAAGCAACTTACTGTTAGCAAAAGCAGAGATGTGAAAAAGTTATTTAGTTCATGTAAGATACTGTAGTCTGGCTGGGGAGAGTTCCACCTTCACAAATTCTAGGCCCCAATGTATGAGGTCCGATGGCCAGTTCCAGTTATGATCGCCTTTACTTCCTTTACAAAACCCGTACAATTCTGGAAATTATCTACTATTTATGCCAGGCTGGCTCAACTATAGAGCCGTGATAATCGGAAAATAGTGTTGCTACCGTCAAGACTGAACTGGGACTACTGTTGCAGCAGGTACAAACACTTACTGTGACATATTTAGTGACAATTTTGGTTACGGTTAGGGTCGGCTTGTTATTTGACGAATTTTTTATTTTTTATATAGTAACAGGTTAGGGTTAGTGCCGATGGTCTGTAAAAATATGGGCGCTCTTCCAATATACCCGATACGTTTAAAGGCGTAAAAAGGGTTTTCGACCTATTTACTTTACTTACAGGTTAGGGTTAGGGGGTAAGGTTAGGGGGTAAAGGTTAGGGAGTAAGGTTAGGGGGTAAGGTTAGGGGGTAAGGTTAGGGGGTAAGGTTAGGGGGTAAGGTTAGGGGGTAAGGTTAGGGGGTAAGGTTAGGGGGTAAGGTTAGGGGGTAAAGATTAGAGTCGGTTAGGGTTAGGGTTGGCTTTTTAGTCGACGAAGTTTGTAATAGTTGCATGTCAGAGATAGAGATTGGGTTATATGGTTAGGGTTGAGGTTAGGGTTGGCTTGTTAGACGACGAAGTTTAAATAGTTGCATGTCAGAGATAGAGATTGGGTTATATGGTTAGGGTTAGGGTTGGCTTGTTAGACGACGAAGTTTGAAATAGTTGCATGTCAGAGATAGAGTTTGGGTTATATGGTTAGGGTTAGGGTTGGCTTGTTAGACGACGAAGTTTGAAATAGTTGCATATCAGAGATAGAGTTTGAGTTATATGGTTAGGGTTAGGGTTGGCTTGTTAGACGACGAAGTTTGTAATAGTTGCATGTGTTGTACACTTAATTTGTTGTACACTTTGTTGTAGTACACTGTAATTTCAAGAACCAAGTATTTAGGCCTAGGGTGCCTATTCTACTATTCCGCTGGATATCTCCTTGATGGATGTGCTACAGTGAAGTCTTGCATTCTATAACTGGCACACTTGGCACCGACACAGCATCATGTAATACAGTTGCTATCTTTACAAGCCAACAATAACGCTTGTGACAGGCCACATAAACTTTAATGTGATTAAAGTTACACGTCACAAGATGATGATGATTATTCAATAAAACGTACGATAATAACTCTTTATTATCTACTCTGAGAATATAAAAGAATTACACTCTTTTCTCAATGGACTCCTGCCATTTATAATACGTAAATAGACATCAAACTGTCTCCCGTGTAAGTACGGTTAAATAAAACCTCACAAAGAAGGAACGTCCTATTTGGACAAGGAAAATATCTTGACTGCCGAATCCTTTGTGTTCTGCAGGAGCCTTTGTGTTAATCGCCCAGCATTCAATTAGCTGGTATCCCAGGTAACAGACCCGACCGGTGGCCGCTGTGTGAACCTTTCACCTGCGCTGTGACCACTAGAAGAAACTAGAAGAAACTTTAACTCTTTGGACAATAAGATTACAACAGCTTATTCCCTCCTCTCACAAACTGAAAATCTACGTTTTTCAGTTGCACAATTTTAACTCTGTTGTAGTCATCTAGAACAACTTATATTCGAATATACCTAGTGAAATCAACATGCAGTTAAGTGAGAATGCATGTAAACGAAATGATGATAACTTTTGTTATAAAAAGAATGCATGTAAATAAAATGATGATAACTTTTTGTTATAAGACATGAAATAACAACAAGAAATACAATATAATATCATAACTGGTTCACTAATAACTCATAAGCTAAATCCACATATCATAATTACTGTCAAGCCCAATAAATGGAATCATCTGTCCAAAACACTTGAGAAATTAACTAACTAAACACTTCTCATAGGTATGTCCTTGAAATATAAATATCTGGATCAAGTA